CGCTCAAGCTCGGCTCGTTTACAGCCCTAGTATTTATATGGGCCATAGTATTTATATGTTTTTAATTTTTATTTTTAAAAATAAATCAACTTGTTTTAAATACAATACGAGATCTGTTTTACTTCAAATCAAAATATTAACAAAATAAATCAAAATCAAAAAGGGGAATTTACATACATAGCACACAATTCTTATGTATTTACATATCTCATATCTAAACTTTCATATTGACATGCATAGCAGTGAAATCTTTAATATCAATTAAAACATAACACCATTATTATTTTTTAAAAGTGAAATATATCTTTTCATGCATAGTTTTAAATCACCAAAGTGATATATAGATAAACATGAAAGTTTAGATATGCAAATATATATAAATTATGTGCTATGTATATAAATTTCCCAAATGGAAAACAAAAAACAAAAGTGATCCCAAATGCACTTAATTTTCGTTAATAAACTCAGGCTCCTTAACTCTGTTCGCCTTCATTGCAGGAAGATGGTAGATTCAACGAGAAAGCGGGTTATCCTCGCCCCTTGATAATGTCGAGCATTTCAATGTCTTGTTTGGTTGGTACTGGACATAAAATATGGGCAGGAATTTATGTTTTCGTATCTACGATTGGCTTCATCATTTTCTATGGTTTACTCGAATTATATTACATAAAACCTCATCAAGTTTTTTCATGGTGGTATAAAGGCCTTATGTTCACTCTATGCATGGTTGCTAGTGTAGTAACACTCGGAGCTATAGTTATTTTCTTCTGGAATAAGTGGGAGCAGAAGAGCTCAAGCAATGAGAGCGGCATGGGGAGGGATGAGGAAAAGGAGAGCTTGTTGAATCATAATGTTTTTGTTACTGATGATGAGAAAGAAAATCTTACAAGCGTGCAAACAATTACATATGGCTCCAGACCAAACTTTCGAGGTAAATTCTTTGATCAATTTTATCAAATTTTTTTTTATAATTAATGCTTTTGTGTAATTATATTTACAATATAGTTGGTGGGAAGTGAAATTCTGTAATTAACTAATAATTACTTAAAAAACTATAACTTTTGTGAAAACCACAATCCTGAATTGCTGATTGCTTGATTCTAATTTCAAATACTTTGCCTTTGTTTGAATTGACTTAAAGTGAAGAAGTTGAAATGGAATCCAACCCAACCAGTTTGTTGATTGATTATGTACTGAAATTATTTATTTGAGCTTTTAAAAAAAAGTTTTTTTTTTCTCTTTTTTCAATCATGAAAAATAATAATGAAAAGACAAATCACAAATACAAATCAAGAAATACTAAAATTTACGTGAAAGCCCCTAAATTGAGAAAATCATAGGCAGAGGAAAAGAATTCACTACATTGAAAAGAAGTGAAGTTACATGTGTCAAAAGCTTAGAGTTCGGCGGTTCACATAACATGGCATCACGAAACCTTAATTTGCCATGAGAGAATAATAAAGGTCCATACACGGGTGTCCAAGCGCACCAGAAATTGGTTCACAAACCCCACCACCATTTTTCAGTCTACCCGCATTTTTATTGTTACTTCCGTCATAAAATTTTCATCATATTAACAATTCAACATATCAAGAGAATTAGTTCCTTGTAACCATAGAAAATTTGCAATCTTGAAGCTCCTACCTATTCATTATGATGAATAATTTTGATTTCAAATCAAAATCTCGCTACAAACTAATCATCTAACCCGTGATCCGTTGACACTTTACTACGCATAGACGTGCGGTGTCAGACACATGTTTGACACGGAATTTGGTTCACTAGCCCCCAACGCCTTTTTTCAGTCTGCCCACATTTTTATGTTTCCGTCATAAAGTTTTCATCATATTAACAATTCAACATATCAAGAGAATCAGTTTCTTCTACCATAAAAAATTTGCAATCTTGAAGCTCCTGTCTATTCATTATGATGAATAATTTTGATTTCAAATCAAAATCTCGCTACAAACTAATAATCTAACCCGTGATCATCTAACCCGTGATCCGTTGACACTTTACTACGCATAGACGTGCGGTGTCAGACACGTGTTTGACACGAAATTTGGTTCACCAGCCCCCAACGCCTTTTTTCAGTCTGCCCACATTTTTATGTTTCCGTCATAAAGTTTTCATCATATTAACAATTCAACATATCAAGAGAATCAGTTTCTTCTACCATAAAAAATTTGCAATCTTGAAGCTCCTGTCTATTCATTATGATGAATAATTTTGATTTCAAATCAAAATCTCGCTACAAACTAATAATCTAACCCGTGATCGACTGACACTTTACTACATGTAGGCGTGTTGTGTCAGACACGCGTTTGACACGGACATATTTATGTGGCATGGAGGGGATTTTGATTTTGGTACAGGGAAAAAAATGTTGGATTTTGTTGATTTATGTGGTACCAAATAAGCTGTTTATCTTTTATGCGCAACATTCTAAAAAATTATTGATGATTTTATTTATTTTTTTTATTTTAACTTGGCTATTTATTAATATTGTATTTAATATATTTCATAAATCTTACCCTTTTTTACTTGATATCTTGATTTATACAACAACAACAACAAAGTTTTAATCCCACTACATGGGGTCGACTACAAGAATCATTTTTCTCCATTGCGTTATATTTAGTGTTATATTTTCATTTAGTTCTAATAAATTAAGATCATTTTTTTATACAATAAGCCCAAGTCTTTCTAGGTCTACCTCTGTCTTTCTTAACATAAGTTGATATAAGTCGAATC